AAAACATTTCAAGTGCTACTCAACTGGCTTTAGAACAGCCAGCCCTTTATTAGTATATAAGTGCTTTGTTAATAGTTCTATCGCTCGAAGTGGAGTCGAAAGAGATGAGTTTTCAGTCTGCGCCGGAAGATGTGCAAGCTATCTGCTGTCCTGATGTCAATGGGGAGCTCATTCCACCATTTTGGAGCCAGGACAGCAAACCCACGTGTTTTTGCCGATGGGAACTTGGGTCCCCCTCGCAGCGAGGGCGCAGCGAGTCGTTTGGCTGATGCAGAGCGTAGTGCACGCGCTGGGGTGTACGGTTTAACCATGTCCTGGATGTACGAAGGGCCAGATCCATTCGCAGCATGGTACGCAAGTACCAGTGTCTTGAAGTGGATTCTAGCAGTTACCGGAAGCCAGTGAAGGGAGCAGAGGAGCGGAGTGGTGTGGGAACATTTAGGAAGGTTGAAGACCAGACGAGCCGCTGCATTCTGGATGAGCTGCAGAGGTCGGATGGCACATGCAGGTAGACCAGCCAGGGAGTTGCAGTAGTCTAGGCGTGAGATGACGAGAGCCTGGACCAGAACCTGCGTCGCTTTCTGAGTCAGCTGGGGACGTATCCTCCTGATGTTGTAAAGCGTGTATCTGCAGCAACGGGTTGTAGCAGCGATGTTTGCAGTGAAGGACAGGTTGTTATCTAGGGTCACACCCAGATTCCTTGCAGTCTGAGTCGGGGAAACAACTGAGGTGCCGATGTTGATTGTTAGGTCAAGAGTGGGACAATCTTTTCCCGGGAGGTAGAGCAGCTCAGTCTTGTCAAGGTTGAGCTTGAGGTGATGAGCAGACATCCACTGAGAGATGTCAGCTAAACAAGCAGAGATGCGTGCGACGACCTGGGTCTCTGAGCGGGGAAAGGACAGAATTAATTGGGTGTCGTCAGCGTAGCAGTGGTATGAAAAACCATGCGGGCTAATGACTGATCCGAGCGAGTTTGTGTACAGGGAGAAGAGGAGGGGACCAAGAACAGAGCCCTGAGGGACCCCTGTAGTTAATTAACAAGGGTCGGACTCAGACCCTCTCCAAGTCACCCTGTAGGTACGGTCTTTCAGATATGAGGTGAGGAGGGAAAGTGCAGAGCCTGAAACTCCAAGTTCTTGGAGAGTGCGAAGGAGGATCTGATGATTCACCGTGTCGAATGCAGCAGACAGGTCCAACAGGATGATGACAGAGGAGAGGGATGCAGTTTTGGCAGTGTGCAGTTCCTCCGTGACAGCAATGAGAGCAGTTTCTGTGGAGTGACCTGCCTTGAAACCAGACTGGTGCGGATCCAGAAGGTTGTTCTGATGGAGATAACAGGAGAGTTGTTTAAAGACAGCGCGTTCAAGTGATTTAGACAGGAACGGGAGGAGAGAGACAGGCCTGTAGTTTATAACATCAGACGGGTTGAGAGTGGGTTTCTTTAGGAGAGGGTTTACTCTTGCCTCCTTGAGACTGTTTGGAAAGTGACCAGAAGTTAGAGAAGTGTTGATGAAATGGGTGAGAAACGGTAGAATATCAGGAGCGATAGTCTGAAGGAGGTTTGAAGGGATAGGGTCCAGAGGACAGGTGGTAGGACGGGCAGAGGTAATGAGGGTGAGAACCTCACTTGGAGAGAGAGGGGAAAAGGAGGTCAGTGTGTGGGTGAAAGGAGGGTCTGGTGACCCAGCGGTGAGTAGAGGTGAGTCAGAAAAAGAAGAGCGAATATCATCAACCTTTTTTTCAAAGTGGGTAACAAAGTCGCTTGACAGAAGTGAGGAGGGGGGAGGGGCTTTTGGAGGGTCCAAGAGGGTGGAGAAGATGGAAAATAGTTTTTTCGGATTGGAATAGGAAGATTGGATCTTATCTTGAAAGAAAGTGCTTTTTGCCTGAGAGATCGAAGCAGAGAAAGAGGAGAGGAGAGCCTGATAGGTTAGGAGGTCGTCACGGTGTTTGGATTTCCACCGTTTACATGTTGCTAAATCCACCGCGGGGCATAAACAGAAGGGCGACCATGGCAACCATGCTCAGGGGTTTTCTTCGCTGCTTTTGGTGTATTTTGTGGCGGAAGTACAGCGCCACTTACAGGCCCGGCATATGTACTACAGCGTCTCCAGCGGGTCGAGCGGTCTCGTGTGAAGGGACACGTTTATTGAGCCGTATCCGTGTGAAAGGAAGACTTTTTTGATATCGAATTCGGTTCGTTTGCGTTCCCGTGTAAAAAGCTCTTTATTTTTCTCATACTGCCTGTGCTGCAGCACCTCTTTTCACCCTCTGTCTGAAACCAGAGCCCAGTCTGCTCCGATTGGTTGGCTGGCCGGCTCTGTTGTGATTGGCCTAGAGATGTCCCACCCCTTAGCATATCACGAACAATGTGTTGGAGCGCTAGCCAATAGAAGTGCGAAGGTTACATAGTGATGTCAGGGATGTAACAACATTTGCATAGTAGCAGTCAATGGAAATCAATGAAAACACTTGAATACACAATGACGATCACGTTTATTGCCAATTTGGTTTACACAATCATATTGCCTTGGTGTGTAATGGTTGTTATATAAACATAATACTGCACAAATAATATACAAAGCTGTTGCAAAAGATCACTAAGGACCAATCTCTTTCGGTTCCTGTCAGGCCTGTAGGTCCTCACAGTGTACAAAAACATATTAAAGTATAAAAACACATGCAAGAAAGCCACACACACACATCTCACACGTATTGTTCCTCACAGGTAAACACAGCATATCAGACAGAATCATTTCCTGCAGCTCCGTCTCTCACAGCAGGAGGCTAAATGTTTGCCTTTCAACAATCTCTCTGTACATGTGGAAGCGTTGAATCATTACACAGATGAGAAATAATCCTGACGCTATCAAACTCCCATGATAGCATGTGAGAGACAGAAAGGTCAGTCATCGTTCACAGTAATAAAGCAGAACATCACATGCTGTTATTCAATCTAAAGACATTTGTATTGATATATTTAAATTGCATGGTTGATGTTGGAATACTGTCAATATGCTGTCTATCAAAATGGCTTAAAGAGGACATATTGTGCTCACCTTCAGGTTCTTATTTGTGATTTGTGCCTCTTTCGTGACAAGCTTTAATGTGCAAACAACCTATAAGCAGCAGTAATAAAGTAAGTAAAAGTAGCGCCACATTTATGCATCAACAATCATAATCCTTCTTCAAAATAAAAGCCCCAAGTGTACTGTTTTCAAACAGGAATTGTAGGATTAGGCTTACTTTTCAAAATAAAAGCCCCACAAAGTCATTGTATCCATAGAGTAACTCAAGATTAGGCCTATTTTTCAAAATAAAAGCCCCACGAAGTCAGTGTATCCAAATGGTAACTCAAGATTAGGCCTATTTTTCACAATAAAAGCCCCACAAAGTCAACGTATGCAAACATTAACTCAATATTATGTCTATTTTTCGAAATAAAAGCCCCACGAAGTTAGTGTATCCAAATGGTACACTCAGGATTAGGCCTATTTTTCAAAATAAAAGCCCCAACAAGTCAGTATATTGAAACAGTGAATTGAGGATTATGCCTATTTTTCAATATAAAAGCCCCTCAAAGTCAGTCGTTCCAAACATTTACTCAAGATTATGCCTGTTTTTCAAAATAAAAGACCCACAAAGTCAGTCGTTCCAAACATTTACTCAAGATTATGCCTGTTTTTCAAAATAAAAGACCCACAAAGTCAGTTGTTCCAAACATTAACTCAAGATTAGGCCTGTTTTTCAAAATAAAAGACCCACAAAGTCAGTTGTTCCAAACATTAACTCAAGATTAGGCCTGTTTTTCAAAAATAAAAGCCCCACAAAGTCAGTGTATCCAAACATTAACTCAATATTATGCTTCTTTTTCAAAAACAAAAATGTTTTTTGCATGTGGTGCAGGAGAAAGTGAGGAGGAAGTGGATGAAGAGATGGAGGAGAGAGACCTAATGAGAGATAATGTCCACCTGCAGGCTGGATGTCATGCTCGTCTGGTTTTACATGTTTGGAGTTCTCTCCTCTGATGAGCGGACAGTATATCCCTCCATGTCTCATCCACATGGGGCTTCTGATCCACAGCAGGGGGTCGGAGGAGCCAATCAAAAGAGAGGAGGGGGGGAGAGAGCCAGGAGATGAATATAAACTTGTCAACAAACAAGAGGAGAAAAAACAATATCAAGATCAGAGGACAGTGAAGTGGTGAAGAGATGAAGGGGAGAGGAAATTACTAAAATATTCAAGGAGAAGAGGACTTGAGTAAAATTAGATATGAATAGGTAAACAAAGGATGGGGACAGAGGAGGAGGAAACAGAGAGGAAAGGGAGAGGAAAAGAGGAGGCAGTAAATACAATTTAAGATGGAGGGAAGGAAAACATTGAGTACACTCAAGAGAAAACGAAAGACAAACGGGGAAAAGAAGCAAGGAGGTAAAATAAAACGAGATGAGGAATGGAGGGATTAGATAGCGAAAGATAAAAGGAGATGAGAGGGATAAGAAAAGAGAACGTGGAGGAAGAGGCAAGAGGTAGGAAAAGGGAAGATGGGAAAGAAGGATGTGGAGAAATGGAGGAAAGAACATTTTGAAGAAGAGTAAATAACGAAGAGGAGAATAAGACAGGAGGAGTGGAAAGAGAAGACTGGATAAGGAACATTTTAAATAAGGATAAACAATAAGAAAATAAAAATCTAGACTAAATTAAATGAAACACACATTGACCTTGTACAAAATAAATACTTTTGAAAACTACATTTTCATAGATGCCAATTCTAAAATTTAAATAATTCTCTCTAAATAGGTTGCTGTATAAACTGTTACTAGTTTGAGTCATAACAAACATCATATTTTTAAACTTTTTTAATGCAAAAGTCTTATTTTTCCCCTTTGAATTAATTGAAATGCAGAATATGTGCACGTGAGACACCAATACTACTGATTCTCTCCACTGTAACTGCTGTATACTATGAACCACATTTCCCAGAGTGCATTGCGCGGGGTGAGAGGTTATCAGCACTTGTGTAGCTACTTCATAGCAACTGCACATCTCTTTCCCCGAAAAATAAGGACTTTGCACTCAAAATTGTGTAATTTTCGTGATCTTTCACACATATATGAGGGCTGGTGGTCCCCCGTGCTCATGAGAGACGTGGCCGCTGTGCAGGACGGTAATCCCGGGGAAAACAAGTACCCTGTGCCGCTGGACTGCTGCGGAGGACTCAGCAACGTGGATTACTCCAAGGTAAAACTAAAGACTGTTAAATAATAAGCAGGTTGTGCTGGTTTAATTAACATGCATCAGATTAACCTCTAAAACGAGCAGTGATAGTCTCTGTTTGACCGACTGAACTGAATCCGTGACAGCAGGAAACAGGCGGTACAGCCGGATCTTTCAAAATAAAAGCAAACTCAAAGGAAACTAATATGTATGGGAACATTTCACATTCATAACAATGGGCTGACTCCAAACCACATTGAGCAGACTTTTACATATAATTACAGCAAAATGGCATCACAATTAAAATCATTAGGAAAAAACAATGAAAACGAAAAATTGTATTTAAAATATTTCCTTTTTTAAAAAAAAATCTTTCTTTCTTCTTTTTTAGTAAGTTTAAAAAAAAAAAGAAATCTAATGTTGACTACAAGTAATACAATCACACAGACTATGAATAAGTACAACTTCGATTAAACATCATATCAAAGCAACATTTTGCATCAAATTCAATAAAAACAACACAAATTATATTTTTAAACTCTTATTTTGAATTTAATGTTGAAACCTCCTACATACAAATATCCATTAACAATCTAAAATGTTTCCAACCAGTTTGTGCATTACATTTTCTTTATTCTCATTTATTTAGACAATAAATCTGGATATGTTTTGCCTGCAGCAGAACACATTGAATGATCCCTCTTTTGACTAAATGACCTGCAAGCTAACTCACACGAGGTCAGAGCCCTTATATAAACTGGACAGGTTGACCCTGACCTGAGACCAGTGTCAGCCTTTATCTCTGAGAACAGATGAGGAAAAACTGATCTGAGACCAGTATGATTTTATACTGAACAACCGAAGCAGCTGGAATAATTGTCGGGTACATTTTCAGTAATATCACTGAAATGAAATGGCTTTAAATGGATTGGATCAGATGTTTTGAAGAGGGTTTGTGTCAGGTACGTATCCATAATCAGTTACCTCCAGTAGATGAGGATTGGTGGCCCTATATATATATAACGTTTAATGAAAGCAATGGACTTTTTTTTTTTTTTTTTTATAGAAACAAGTCCTGTTTCTCTCTTGAGGCCAGGAAAAGGCTAGTCACTGTGACCTTTTTACCTGTGCTGGACTATGGTGATCTATTTTATATGAATGCGCCGGCCAATTACGGTATCTTTTTATTTATAAAGCAATGTTAGGGAAACTTCCGTCTTACATCTGTTCCCTGATCTCACAGCGTATTGTAAATGGCTACTGCCTGAGATCTAAAGCTGTGGTTGTATTACATGTGCCAACTGCTAGGACTGTATTAGGAAATACAGCTTTTAGATGCGCAGCGCCGCTAGCATGGAACAGTCTACAAAAGGAATGGAAGCTAAGCAGTTTGATTCCATTTCATGTTTTTAAAGCTAGGATAGACGCTATACAATCAGAAAATATTGGTGTCTGTAAATGCTACTAGTATACAAACTGTAGTATCATATAATGTCCTTTGTTTTCTGTCATGTTTGTATTAATGTTTGGAACTAATTGAAGCAGGTCACCATTGTAAAAGAGGTCTATGATCTCAATGGGTTTTATCTGTATAAATAAAGGTTTTGAATTGAATTGAATTGACTACTGTGGACAATGGAAGCAGCAAAACATATTTTAATACCTTAACAAAATAAAAATCAGTTTAAATGCACGCTATATTTCGAATATTATAAGCGAATTACCTTGACGTCAGACAAACTGATGTTTCCGACTGGCATCCTTGAAGAAAAAATGAATTTTATCTCACAGAACAGACACATTTTTCAAGATATTACTGGGGTTTTTCCAATGGAGGAAAGAAAGCATAGATAATGTTCCCCAACAGAAAGGCCTGTATAGTGGCATGGTAAAGTAGTGACTATATTCTAAATAAAACGCACATTTAAACTGATATTTATGGTTTTAGGTGGCCAAAATATGTTTTGCTGCTACCTCTCCACAACTGTACAGATGATAGTTTCTGTGTTGGTATTCCTGTCTATACACTGACTAAGGACTGTCTTATACAACGCGTACAACTTTATACATGGAAGTTATTAATACTACTTTAAGAAATATGAACTATCCCCAAATGAGAGAGAGCCAGATAATTGTGATAGAGACAGTCTGTATGTCTAGATACATGCCAGCCAATCAAGTCATATGCCAGCACAAGCTCTAGCCCAGGGGTGTCAAACTCAAGGCCCGGGGGCCAAATCTTGCCCGCGACTTCATTTTATGTGGCCCCGCAAGAGCTTGCAAAGAATATATTACGTTTATTATACGGTTATATGCCACTTTACAGAAGCAGGTTGCCCATAAACTACATGTCCCACAATGCATCTCGTTTTGTGACATGTGCACTGAAGAGACTTGCAATTATTTGCCCTGGACTTCCGCTTTCAAACGTAGTTAGTTATTACCCTATCTCAGGGGTCGGCAACCTTTTTGATATGAAGTGCCATTTAAAAAAAAATGTGTTATCAGTGTGCCAACGATCGAGAATTATCAACGGGGGGGGGTTGAGGAGCTTGACGCTCGTCAACTGTCAGCTGGGGAAGCTGTGTGTGGACCTGTCAGCGCAACTTACATGATGCCGAATTTAACAAACACATTTAAATAATTGGTTTAAACGGCATAATAATAAGGACGATCGTCCGTTCTGTGATTCTCCAGAACACACATGTTATGATATTAGGGTCATGCAGAGTGAGATGAGATCGCTGTCCCTTTAAGAGAGAGAGAGAGGGGTGTGGCTTGTGCATGTGTGTTTGTGGATGGTAGAGCGACAGTGAGAGAACCTATGGAGATAATGTGTGTATGTTTCTGGAGGTGAAACGAGGAAGCAGAAAAACAGAGACTGTGATGAACAGAAGAACAGCTAAATAAATGCAACGGCCTCCCAAGAAGAGCTCGCCTCTCTCCAGTCATTTAAGCTAAAGTGGGTTATTGAACCTGAAGCTTGTTGCTTCTGCCCTCCTCGACTACGGTCTGGGAGCCGACGGGAAAGTTCAACACACAGATGGCCAGTCCGCCCCTTTGTAGCATATTATTTCGATGAGAGATGAGCAGATCGCCACTGGGCTTTCAACTAAATACACAGCCACGCAAAAACGGCGGCATGTGTACAGCTCCTTATGGGTACTGCAATTAGTGAAGTGCTTTCCTCTGTGGTGAAACGATCAGCACTGCACCACGGAGGAAAGCGGCAGAAAGTCACCTGGAGTTAAAGAGAGCGGGGCTGCGCTGCGTGCATGGCTTCCTTCTGCAGGTAACGGGGAGACGCGCTCTGGCGGAAGTCTCGTTCAGGATCCGAAAATACAATTTAAATATTTTTGCACACTTATTCCACTTATTCCTAGTGTGCCACTGGTTACGGTGCCGCGTGCCAATGCTGTCACGCGTGCCAGGGGTTGCCGACCCCTGCCCTATCCGATAATAATCCAATTCAGAGGCAATAATGTAATACATTATTTTGGATAAAAGTTACATGGATAAAAGTTACAGTGCAGTTTAAGATGTGAATAGTTCAATTAAAAGCAACGACAAAAAGAAAAGTCTTCAGCCTGGATTTAAAAGTAGTCAGAGTTGCAGCAGACCTGCAGGTTTCTGGGAGTTTGTTCCAGATATTTGGAGCATAATAACTGAACTTCTCCATGTTTAGTTCTGACTCTGGGGACAGAAAGCTGACCAGTCCCTGAAGACCTGAGAGATCTGGATGTTCATAATTTAGCAGGAGGTCAGAAATGTATTTTGGGCCTAAACCATTCAAAGCTTTATAAACCAGCAGCAGTATTTTGAAATCTATTCTTTGACACACAGGAAGCCAGTGTAAAGACTTCAGAACAGGAGTGATCCACTTTCTTAGTGTTAGTGAGGACTCGAGCAGCGGCGTTCTGAATCAGCTGCAGCTTCCTAATAGATTTTTTAGTGAGACCTGTGAAGACACCATTGCAGTAGTCGAGTCTACGGAAGATAAAAGCATGGACAAGTTTTTCCAAATCCTGCTGTGACATTAGTCTTTTAATCCTAGATATATTCTTTAGGTGATAGTAGGCTGATTTAGTAACTGTTTTAATGTGACTGTTGAAACTCAGGTCAGAGTCCATGACTACACCTAGATTTCTGGCTTTATCTGTTGTTTTGAACATTGCACACTGAAGCTCAGCGCTAACTTTTATACGTTCTGACTTGGCTCCAAAAACCATTACCTCAGTTTTATCTTTGTTTAATTGGAGAAAGTTCTGACACATCCAGTCATTGATTTGTTCAATGCACTTACTCAGTGTTTTAATTGGAACATAGTCTCCTGGTGAAATTGTTACGTAAATGTGTGTGTCATCTGCATAGCTATGGTAACTTATTTTGTTGTTTTTCATTATCTGAGCCAGTGGTAGCATGTAGATGTTAAAGAGAAGAGGCCCCAAGATGGAGCCTTGAGGAACCCCACATGTCATATTTGTCAACTCAGATGTGTATTTACCTATAGAAACAAAGTTGTTTCTGTCCTTTAAGTAGGATTCAAACCAATTTAGAACTGTTTCCGAAAGTCCCACCCAGTTTTCCAGTCGGTCTAGTAATATGCTGTGGTCAACAGTGTCAAACGCAGCACTGAGATCTAATAATACTAACACTGAAGTTCTGCCACTGTCTGTGTTTAAGTGGATGTCATTAAAGACCTTTACAAGAGCAGTCTCAGTGCTGTGGTTTGGACGAAAGCCTGACTGGAACACATCCAAACAGTTATTTAAATGCAAGAAGTTACTCAACTGTTGAAAAACAACTTTTTCAATTATTTACCTAGAAATGGCAGGTTTGATATGGGCCTGTAATTGTTCATTACTGAAGCATCTAGATTATTCTTTTTTAAGAGCGGTTTAATGACTGCAGTTTTCAGGGCCTGTGGAAAAACACCTGAGTGAAGAGATGTGTATACTATATGAAGTAGATCTGAGGCCATGCAACGAAAAACATCTTTGAAAAATCCTGTTGGAATAATATCAAGGCAGCAAGAGGAGGATTTCAGAAGTTGAATAATGTCCTCTAGGTTTTTATCATTAATCTGATGGAACTGTGTCATGGTGTTTGAATTGATATTAGGTGGACATAGGGACAACACATTTGCTGTTCCTGATGCAGAGGCACTGACTGCTTGTCTGATTTTCTGAATTTTGTCAGTGAAAAAGGCAAAATCATTGCACGCCCTGGTGGATAGAAATTCAGAGGCTACTGACACTGGGAGGTTAGTTAGTCTGTCGACGGTAGCAAACAAGGCACGTGCGTTGTTTTTCTTTTTGGTAATGATGTCAGAGAAGAACGATTGTCGTGCGTTTTTCAATTCCAAATTATAAAGGCCAAGTCTCTCTTTATAGATTTCAAAGTGAACCTGGAGATTTGTTTTTCGCCACCTGCGTTCAGCTTTTCGACACTCTCTTTTTTCAGCTCTCACGGTCATGGCCTTTCTCCATGGAGATATTTTCTTCCCAGTCACTTCCTTTACCTTAGTTGGAGCAATGGCATCTATAACATTTTTTATTTTTGAATTAAAATCATCGACTAGCTCATTTACTGAGATGTTGGCAGGGGCAAGTGTGGAAGAGAAATTCTGAGTAAACATTTCCCTAGTGTTTTCAGTTAAATATCGCTTTGTGGTTACCTCTTTTTGAACATTTTTGTGAACAGAAATAGAGCTCTCAAAGAAAACACAGGAATGGTCAGAGAGTGCAACATCAGTCACCACAACCTTAGAGATATTCAGACCCTTTGAGATAATTAAGTCCAGAGTGTGCCCCTTATTGTGCGTGGGCTCCGTCACATGCTGAGTCAGTCCATAGCTATCAAGAACACAAAACAGTTCTTTAGCCCCTCTGTCCTGGGGGTTGTCAACATGGATGTTAAAATCACCAACAATGACTAGACGGTCAAAGTCAATACACACTATCGACAGCAGTTCAGTAAAGTCATCAGAAAAGCTTGCACAGTATTTGGGGGGTCTATAGATATTTAGGAACAGAGCTCGAGAGGAGCATTTCAGCTGAAGGGCCACATATTGAAAAGAATCAAAGTTTCCATACGATGTCTTCCTGCATTGAATGGAATCATTGAACAGAATAGCAACTCCACTCCCTTTCTTATGCATTCTTTCCTGACTCATAAAACTAAAGTTGGGAGGGGTTGATTCGATAAGAACAGCTGCACTGTTATTTTGTTCAATCCAAGTTTCCGTTAAAAACATAAAATCGAGATTGTGCTCAGTGATAAAATCATTGATTAAAAATGTTTTTCCTGCCAAAGACCTGACATTTAATAAAGCTCGTTTAAATTTGTTAGATACACTATCAGTCATGTTTTTTGTAACAAGCTGTGGCTGACATGGAATCACTGCTAAATTAGATAAACTCACACAAACGTCGCTGATTCACCGCTCTTAATCTATTACCTATCAACACAGATATCGGCAAAGCTACTGGCAGGCAGGGCCCCGGCATGTCCTGGAAAGAGTTGAGAGTGCCATACGCCCTTGAGCCTGGACCCAGCAGATATCAGAAAGAGTTTGTTGCGTTTTGTACACACACATCCTTATCAGGCTTCGGAGACTGCAGATGCTTTCTTGAAGGGAGGGGAGGTGGTTGACGTAGGCACGGTGATGGAGACGGGGGAGATTTTGGTGGCCGTTGTTGAAGGGCGGGGGTAAAGGACATGCTGCCAACCCTGCGTATCACCTTAGTTTGGTCTTTGAACTCCAGGAAGGAATCGGTGCCTTTTGGAGATTTAAAAAGCATCCAAACATAATTGAGGCCATTGACCTATAAGACATACGTTGATGCTTTTACTCTCTTGCGTCACCAGGCAAAAGCACACTGTGTGACAGAAGCAAAATGCCTCTATGCTGCTCCACATCATATCAGTCATTAAAATACAATTGTTGGGCAATTTGCAATGGTCCAATTTCGAAAAAGTAGGTCATCCGTTTGTCCAATTTGCTCACGATGAGAACATTGTATGAAAGTCCACTACTGTGTACACAACACAGAAGTAAAGAAACGGACAAGAACAAGTTGGTCCAAGTAGAGCTAATTTTATTTTACTTCCAGCTTTTAAAGTTGAAATATAACTTTAACGATAAAAAAGACTAAGAAAATAAATGGTTTTCCATCTTCTCTTTAAGTGCTTTATCTTGTTCTTGGCATATTTTTTGGAAATGGTTTTTATTGTACCCCGCTGGAGAATTTGTGCAACCAAATGTTTATCTTGATGTTACTGTTATTCTCACATTAGAATGTGATGGGAAACACACATTAGTTCGCATTATCTTTAGGAGATTTTCTAAAAAGTTGAAGGGAAACCTGTATAGTATCTCCATTGCTATACAGAACTCCTATGATATTTTAAAACGTTTCATAACCAGCTTTGGATGACAAAAAAACATACTTCTTTCAATGATATTGTGCATGGCTGTGTCGCTCAGTTGGAAGTTTTGTTTTAATTCCAGCTTTGAAAGTTGAAATATTACTTCAACAATAAAAAAGGATCTTACTGGCCAAGAAAATAAAAGTGGCGAAGCCTGCGAGCTAGTTCAGGCAGTCAACTCGAGCACCAATGATACATTAACACGTGATGCACCTCGTCCCTCTTACAACCAACCACACACATTCTCCTAAACATGCCGCTCTATTTAAGCTGCCAGGTCTTCCTGCCTCTGCCTCGCTCATGCCACTGCTGTGTTCACTTGCTATTGCTACGTTCATGTTCCTGCTGCTGTGTTTCATGTTACTGCTGCTCGCCTGCCCCAGCTCCACCCCAGCTTCCATCCAGCTTCCGCCCCAGCTTCCGCCCCAGCTTCCGCCCCAGCTTCCATCCAGCTTCCGCCCCAGCTTCCGCCCCAGCTCCACCCCAGCTCCATCCCAGCTTCCGCCCCAGCTTCCCCCCCAGCTCCACCCCAGCTTCCATCCAGCTTCCGCCCCAGCTTCCGCCCCAGCTTCCGCCCCAGCTTCCGCCCCAGCTTCCGCCCCAGCTTCACCCCAGCTTCCGCCCCAGCTTCACCCCAGCTTCCGCCCCAGCTTCCGCCCCAGCTTCCGCCCCAGCTTCCCCCCCAGCTCCACCCCAGCTTCAGCCCCAGCTTCCCCCCCAGCTCCACCCCAGCTTCCGCCCCAGCTTCCGCCCCAGCTTCACCCCCAGCTTCAGCCCCAGCTTCCATCCCAGCTCCATCCCAGCTTCCGCCCCAGCTTCCGCCCCAGCTTCCACCCCAGCTCCCGCCCCAGCTCCCGCCCCAGCTCCCGCCCCAGCTCCCGCCCCAGCTTCCGCCCCAGCTTCCACCCCAGCTTCCCACCCCAGCTTCCCCCCCAGCTTCACCCCATCTTCAGCCCCAGCTTCCATCCCAGCTCCATCCCAGCTCCATCCCAGCTTCCGCCCCAGCTTCCACCCCAGCTCCACCTGTAGGCTCGGGGGATAGTTATCTAATCATCACTCAATATCCTTTGTAAATATGTGGAGTGATGAGGCCCGAGCCTAGACGCCAAACTCAAACTATACGCTGCTTAATAAACATATTAAGAAACACGTGAGTTGTCTGACTGAAATGGTTTACTTGGTTATGCATCCTTTGAGATTTAAAGTGCTTTATATTGTTCTTGGCATCTTTTTTGGCAATGGTTTCAATTGTACCCCACTGGAACTTGATGCGTACAACAGCTTTTATTCTCATATCAGAATTGGCTGGAAAACAAACATTAGTTTGCATTATCTTTAGGACATTTTCTAAAAAGTTGTTATATTGCGCTACATTTGAATGGAAACCTGGTATAGTATTTCCATTGCCATACAGAACTCCTAAGATAATTATAATGATGTTATAACCAGCGATGGATGATAAAAAAACATCTTTCCTTCAATGAAAATGTGTTTTTGTGTATGGCTGTGTCTCTCAGATGGACGTGACCCTGATGAAAGAAGTCCTGAAATACATCAACTTTCGAGACTCCAGCTTTTGCATCGCAGTGATCGCCATCATCTTTAGTCCATTATTCTGGAATGTGGTAAGGAATACTCTACATGTTGAAGCTTCTATACTTAATCTTGTGCAGGCTGGGTAATCTAACAAACTAGACCCTCCAGAAAAACGCGATTCTGCGATCGCAGAATTTACCGCATAATCAGCAAAATGGCGCAGATTTCAAAAGGCCGCATAATCCCCGCATCTTTCCACACAAAGTTGAGGAAAAAAAAGTTAACTCGTCTTGACGTGAAGTAGTGATGATGATTATGACGCAACGTCATCAGCTCGCGCATCACAGAAGGTAAACAACACCGTAGAGTGAACGTGTGGAGCTCACACGAGAGAGAAAACACAAGATGAAAAAATCGAATCCATCTCATTTACCGACGAACATTTCTGCTAAAGACCGGGCAAAGCACTTCCCCGATGTCTTGCGCGAAAGTGGGGGGAAACTATTCTGCACCCCGTGCAACTGTGTTGGAGCATAAGAGAACATCGATGGTGACGACCCACTTTGATTCATTCAAACATTCGAAAATGCTTTCTGCTGCTGCGGACAAGAAAGCCAAACAACTCACGTTCACCGAGGCATCGACCTCCAAAACCCTTTCGAGGGCTACAAGAAACGAGGTGAGTAGCCTACAAGTTTGAAGCTGGTCAGATAACGAACGAGTAAATGAAAACAGAATGAGGCGGAGAAGTGTGTGTGTGTGTGTGTGTGTGTGTATGTGTGAGAGAGGGTGTGATTAAAATAGCCCAATTGCTTTTACAATAAATAAACATTGAATGTGTTTAATTGAATAGTAAAGGGGTTTAACGTTAGTGGCAGGTTGTGTGTGAGAGAGAATAAATAAATAAGACAGCCCAATATTTATTTTTTCCGCATATTTCCCAACTTCCCGCAATTTCACCGCATAACATCACATAAAACCCCGCATGTTTGCATAATCAAGGATTTTAGCCCGCGTTTTTCTGGAGGGTCTAACAAACACTTGTAAAACCGAGTCGTGAAAATCATGACCATTAGCCTTAGTCTTACATTTTCCAGAAACTATAATCCTGATTTGATTTTGATTGGATACAAACCATTTCTCTACAGCATAGTAATATTGGTTTGAATTTTAAAGGCAGCCATGTGTGTCTTTACCCTTTTCCACCCAAGTTTGGTGCTTGTAATTCGCTTAAAATGTAGTTTTTTGCTGCCACTTACAACAGGAAATCCCTTCTGTTGTTCCTGGCGGTGAATAATCCTTATACACTGATCATAACACGCTAAGGAGAGACTTAATGTATGTGTTCATTAACTCATATAATGAATTATCTGAGGTGGTGCTTTTGACTTAGGGAATCTGGTGAGGGATCATGTCCTTTTTTCTGCAAATCGAACTCCTTCTTCTTGAGTTGTGTGACCCTCCTGAAGCCCTATTAGTATATAACCTGCAACAGAAATGACTTTTTACATTTTATCCCTCTGGAAAACCTACTGCTCCTCCTAACCCCTCGATTCCACCGGGTCCGTCTGTGTCGCGTCACGGCTGCGTCGCGGTTTTGGTCCGGCCTCCTCCGGAGTCATACCCTACCGGGCGCGTTTCAGAAGCGGAGCGTCTTGCCTGCCTGTATTTCCTGGACAGGCTACTTTGTACAGACAAAGTTAATAATACTTGTATTATTCCAGTTATAAACAACATGAATCAAAGATATGTTGCTGTATTTTAGTGGTAAAAAAATGCATTCATCATCATAATTATTATATATATATATAATTTACACAGTGCCTGTAATCCGGAGGAGAACGCTGGCATTGCTCCTCCTACTTGAAAGACTACGGAGGGATAGGGTCTGCAACATTAGTTTATTTTGGGGATTGACTGGATGCTCTGACCGGTCCACTTCCTGCCCGGCGGCTCTGCAACGCCTCGCGTCGCGTCGAAAATAGACTTGCATCCTATTTTGAGCGGAGCCCAGCGCCGAGACGCTTCTGAGCCGTAACCCGGCGCGTCTGGTGGAATAGCACCCATTGAGTAGAGTGGCCGCGATCTCTGCGAACGCCGCGGCGCAGCCGTAACGCGACGCAGACGGACCCGGTGGAATCTAGTGGTAAGCCCCCAGGGATCACCAACTACATTTATCCAAGGGCCGAAATGTAACCAATAGACACTATCGCGGGCCAGCGATTTTTATATAGCCCAGAATTGTATAAATAGTATTCAGATTACTTTTGGAATACTTTCTTTTTCCATAACAGATGGGTATGTTTTGGTGAACAGGAGACACTTATGTTACTGTTTTAATGGCTTATCAAGAACTCAAACACAACATTGGTGTCATTCTGGACAGCTCTCTCATCTGCACCCCACATAAAAAACATCACCCGGACTGCATTCTTTGTACTGTCTTAAAACCTTTCCTTGGAATATGTTATGAATTGTAAGGTGTCCTTGGGTGCTTTGAAAGGCGCCCCTAAATAGAATGAATTATCATTATTATTTATTATTATCTGAAACGATGTAATAACTTTTAAAACTTTTTCCAGTCACTTGCCCCATGCATTCAGCAGCAGTAGGCCATTCACTTTGATTTGATCCCGTTATAAATGTCATCATTTCGACAATAAATAAATGCTACATAAACGTTATCTTGCACATTTTATCTAACCATCTCCGTTTCTAACTTTCAATATATTTGAAAAGAGATCTCTCTCTCTCACCTGCGTGCGGGGGCGGGGCCTCACAGACACGCTGCATCTCTCTCTCGCTCACAGACATGCTGCAGCGCTGTGCAGTGTGCACACAGTTCTGCTGGTAATGAATATTACATTTTGTGAGGAAACTTTTCCACCAATAATTCCAATAAGTATTCCAAAATGTATTCACTTCAGGTTTACGAAAGTAACTGTATTCAGATTACTCATTTTTCAAATGTAACGCCAGCTGAATACAGTTAGCCTACTTGATGTTTGTATTCTGATTACGTAACGCCGTTACATGTATTCCGTTACAACCCAACCCTACTTCTAGGCTACTGTCCCGCAGTCTTGCCTCTCTGTTGGACTCTGTCGCAGCGGGGCTACTGCTGTGGTGCGGAGCGCATTAACCAGACTCTTCACAACGAAGGATCACTTCTTCTTCAGGGGAGGGAAGGTTTCGCAGTAGGCAGTCTACTGTCCCACAGCTGCTGCCTCTCTGTTGGACTCCGGTACTGCACCTTACTCACGAGACGTTGTAAACAAAGAAATGGGTGGGGGGCGAACGCAGTAACCACCACTCCGCCAACGCCACAGTCACCCCCGTCGTGCGGGCCGGATGAGAATGTCTGGCGGGCCGGATGTGGCCCGCGGGCCGCCAGTTGGTGGTCACTGCCCTATACTGTTGGGTGCATGAAATACACAAAAACACCATCAAAAAGGCTCAAATCCCTTTTACTACAAGAAATTATCCAACAAATTGCTTAGAAAATGTGATTCATAGTGAGTCAAGTCGTATCTTTCTATCTGTCCATTAAATTACAGTTGATCCGTCTTCATCACATCAAGACAAACTGTCCTAAACGTGTCCCTGAGAATGATTCAACTTTTAGAGAAGTTTTTACTTGCTGGACAAGATAGTTGTATATCAGTATATCATATCTTTAATGTGTAGGATCAGCATAAGGCAGTCAAGACTCATATGTCATAGACTAGATATCTCTATGACTAAGTATTGCATCTTATCAGGCTGGAAACAACGTTGGTTTTCTGGGTGTATTGACGTCAAAGTGAATCCTCGTTCCGAACGCCTTGAAAGAGAATGTTATTATTATTTTCAAAAGATGCTTAAGATGCAGAAGTGCTATAGAGACTTGAGTCACACATCACATCTTCTTCAGTGATGGTGGTGAATCATGCAGTCAACAATCACTGACAAGCTTTACATAATACTGCAATTAAAGTATTTTAGTAGAAAAGAAAGCTTTCTCTACGTGTGCTGCCCGCCAACGCTGTTAATGGTGCATTTTACTGTCAAAGTGCCACATTAATTATAATGTTGTTGCTCATAACTAAGAATGTAGGAATTTTAAATGCGTAATGTGGAAAAATTACAAATTGCACAAGAGAGATTAAGTTATGGCGTTATCTACATCTTATATTACACGGCTTTGTCGAATACTCTGTCCTGATTGGTCAATTTGGACGTTCCAGAGGTTGTTAATTATTGCTAATAGACCGTTGCTAAGGAGAACAGACCGTCGCTAAGGGGAATTAAGTGCAGTCATATCAATCCACCGAGAGAAATCCGATCAATTTAACGTCAGATGTGGACAAACAAACATTATATTTCTCCATCAGAAAACAGAGTGGAAGACAGGAAGTAAACACTAAAGGGAACAGCAGAAGAAGACAGACAGACAGACAGGAAGTAAACATTAAAGAGAACAGCAGAAGAAGACAGACAGGAAGTAAACACTAAAGGGAACACTAGAAGAAGACAGACAGGAAGTAAACATTAAAGGGAACAGCAGAACAAGACAGGAAGTCAACAATAAAGGGAACAGCAGAAGAAGACACACAGACAGGAAGTAAACACTAAAGGAAACAGCAGAAGAAGACAGGAAGTAAACATGAAAGGAAACAGCAGAAGAAGACAGACAGGAAGTAAACACTAAAGTGAACACTATGGAAAGTAACAAAAAACCTTGATCAGTGCTACCGTCATTTAAAAATAGTTTTAAGCAATATGATCATTTTCAAATCAAATGCCTCACTGCACATTAACCCATAATTATCTCCAGATTTGATAAAGTTGCTATGCTATAGGGTCATTTTTGTAAAAGTTGGTGTATTTTACTGCAATTAGTAACACTACGTAAACAGTTGCATGTGTTTCATTCCAAGTTTTTCATTTCTTACCCTGAGCGGTGACTCATCACACGCTCGGCACACTTCTTACAGTAGCTGTCCCTTACAAAGAAAAGCAGATAACGCGCTCATGATAACAAATCAGCCTTTTTGTGCATTTTGCTGGAAGATCATCTGTAAGTGGCTGTAATGGGGCTCCTTCAGGC